TGAGAGTTCTTCATACTTGTTTCCCAAAAAGGCTGTATTAGTTTGCCATCCCACCAACAACCCCCTAGCTTTCTGTTAATAGAAACTATGTTGTTCACCACACTATTTCAAGTGCCAAGGACACATTGTCTACTCACAGAAGGCATCCTATAATTATTTATTTAAAATATAGGCTGAAGTCGTTAGAAATGATATTGACAAGAATGCAGACCCTCGCTGGGCCTTAAAAGGTAAGGAGAAGCTACACTCTCAAAGGCAGGAGTAGTACTCAAAATTTCCCAAGACCCACATCCAAAAGGCCCCCAGGAGTGGCAGGAGTGAACCTGTTTCTTGTTGGATTGTGGAGTGATTGAGAATTTCAGAGAATGGACTTGGACTGCCAAAGTAGTATAAGGGCACATGGGCCTTGGAGCCCAGGCTATTCACCTACAAAGAAAGGCATATTTTGATATTTAAAAAAAATCAGATACTATAGAAAGATAGCCAGATGGAATCTTAGTCCTGAGAAGAAGAAAACCAAGAATATTTCAGGCTCAGCACCTGTAGCTTAAGTGGCTAAGGCGCCAGCCACATACGGGTGCAGGGTGGCAGGTTCAAGGTGGCAGGTTCAAGTGGCGGGTTCAAATCCAGCCTGGGCCTGCCAAACAACAATGACGGCTGCAACAAAAAAAATAGCCAGGGGTTGTGGCGGACACCTATGGCCCCAGCTACTTGGGAGGCTGAGGCAGGAGACTCGCTTGAGCCCAGGAGTTGGAGATTGCTGTGAGCTGTGATGCCACAGCACTCTACCCAGGGAGACAGCTTGAGGCTCTGTCTCAAAAAAAAAAAAAGAATATTTGAGCAAAGATGGGGCTGAAATACTAGCAAATGTGTGGATGTAGCTTTGCCATTTTCTGGCTGAAAATAAGCTTCATAACCTCGTGTGTAACATGGAGATAATAGTAGTATCCACCTCTAATGGATCAAATTAGAAAATACATGCGGAGTGGTTACCACAAAAAGTTTGATAAATAGATACCATTATTATTATGAAAAGCCTTAGGAGCAAAAGAACTTGGGATTTGGCAATTTTGCCATTATCTGAATGGCCCTGGAGAGGTCAACAACTTCTGACCAAAATTTTAAGCATATAAGTAGTGAAGAGTCTAGAAAATAGGTCTATAGTTTCATCAGCATCTCAAAGGAGTTAAAAAACGAACCACAAGGAACCAAATTGTCTCATTCTACATTAGGATAAATTACCTTCATTATCACTATTTTACCACCCTTTATTCCAAATATCATCAAATTTATTTGTATTTCTCTCAAGGAAAAAGGTATTGATTATTAGAATAAAGATCATAATAGCCACCATTTTCTTATCTTAAATTTTTATTTCAAATGCTTAAACATAAAATTACTAATAATACCATAATATTAATGAAAATATTAAAATACCAAAAGAATATTGAAACTTATTTCATTTTCTCTGAGAGTATTTGACATGAAAATACAGCACTTTCCCCCACCCCCCAAAATCAATCCATTGCATCCTGATACATGAACAATTGTCTAAAACAGAAAAAAAATACAGCTCTTGGAAGCTGTTCAACAAGATGCAAGATTATTTGTAGGAAAATAAAGTGAAGTGCAATTCTACAAAAAGAAAACTCTTGCCCCAAATGAATTCTGAGGTATATGTATGTAGATTACTATAGTGAATGGAGAGAAAGAAAAATGGGTACAAAGTGTCTACTCTTGCTTAAAATCTCTTAACGTCAAAAGAATAGGCTATTTGTCATACAATCGCTGAAGACACACATATCTGCAATCAAAAACGACTTGTGTCCAAATGATGGGTTGTTCCTCCCAGGCACCACTGGTGCTCACACATCCCATCTCTGAGATGCATGGAATTTGAATTCTGCCTGATATAATGTGACACCCATATTTTCAACTGAAAAAAAAATTTTTTTATCTTCATTTATCCTGTGACAATAAATTGAGGCAAAACTAAATTTCAGTTCACCTGGATAGAAAAGACACTTTTTCGTCCTGTTTTGGGTCTCTGTGCACATTTATTAATCTCAAAGCTCTTTTTGACCTCACTGACCGACCATCCATGTCCATCAGCCATTACCATTGGTCCCTGCAACGCACCTCAGTGGCTCGGCAGGAAAACTTGTAGAATTAGGTTTCACAGGAGAAAAACGCATTGCACTTTGGAAGTCCCAGTCCATCCTTCCAAACAAACAAAAAATAAAAGCTTCCTTCTACGTGCCGAATTTCCCTAAAGTATGTGACTGCATTTGCAATGGACATTGTTCAAAATAAAACTCGGGTATAAAACCAGGGGCTGTTGCTATCTCAACAATGAGAGCAAAAAATAACCATAGGCAACATTTCTACATATTGAAATTCCTGCAGCCAGATGTTCCTGGGGTTTGTCAAAATGTGATCTGATTAAGGGATTATTGGGAAGCTTGTGCTATAAATCATGCTCTAGTCACATGAATTCAAAGTAGTTCCTACAAGGCTAGAAAAGGGGAATTGAATAGTGAAAAGTATTTACAGTGCCACCCAAATGAGTAACAGAGGGGAAGTGGGGAGAGGGGGATCCACAAACCAGCACCAGCATGCTTCGAGGACTAGATGATAATGTGCATTTATCTGTTTATTAGTGCAGGGACATGTCATAAGGATTAAGTGGGATGAAGGGAAGAGGCGGCTTAGAAGCCCATTAGTTTCCAAAACACAAAACTAATAGTTTTCCCAAAAAGTAATATTAAAATATGTATATGTTTTTGACAACTAAATTATAAATGGATGTGATATCCTGCATATAAAAAAGCAAAGAAACCTGCTGTATGTTTTAATGGAAAATTCCAAGTTCAATCCTTGCAAAAGCACCAAGTGCATACCACTTAGGATAATGCCACTGATGCACGTTTGACAACTAAATTACAAAGCTCTTTGATATACTGTGTATGAAGAGTGGCAATTATGGCCAATAAAATCAAAGGAAGAAAAAAAAACTAATTAACACTAACATATCATTATGACTCACTAGCATATAAAATCCTATGCCTGCTCTATATTGCCAGCAACTGGCAAATCCCAAATTCTTAAGGATGCAGACAATAGTTTCCACATAACTGGAGTCTACAGAGGTCTTAGGGACTCTGTGGAGCTTTAGCATTACTTTCTTCTGTCAAAATGTCCAAGACAGGCCAGGTAGGCACAGTGGCTCACTCCTGTAATCCTAGCTCTCTGGAAGGCCACAGTGGGTGAATGCGTGAGCTTAGGAGTTCAAGACCAGACTGAGCAAGAGTGAGACCCCTTCTGTACTAAAAATAAAGAAAAACTAACCAGACATTGTGATGGGTGACTGCAGTCTCAGCTACTCAGGAGGCTGAGGCAAGAGCATCACTTGAGCCTGAGTCTGAGGTTGCTGCGAACTATGATGCCACAGCACTCTACCCAGGGAGACAGAGTAAGACTCTATCTTAGAAAAAAAAAATGTCCAAAACACACAAATAACTTAAAAATGCATTCCTTCTCCCCACAAAATGTAATCTTAAAGTTATGAGCTATGGTGATTAGTTGTGATACTACCTTATAAACAAAAAATAGTGATCGGTATTTGTGGTAGAAGGAATATGCAATTTGGAAACAAAAGGCCTGGTTCAAATTCCAAATCAAATACTTATTGTCCCTGCAACTAATGGCAAAATACTTACATCTCCATCAAATGGGAACAATAACAAAATCTACACAACAGAGTTGCGGGCCAAAATAAGTATGAAATCATTCTAAAAATGACCCAAAAAAAATACAAAAAAAAAATGAAAAGAACACTGGGCAAATGTCAACTCTTCCACTCACAAGAGCAGTCCCCATTTAAACTTAGCAGGTAGGAAAAGTACAAAGTTATTTGCTATAAAATTTTAAATACACTGAAAATAAACTAATTGCAATAGAAAGAATAACACATTGCAGAGGGGAGAACTCTAGGAAACCTGGGTTTGGTAAAGTTGACCCAAGTTTCATTTGGAGAAAATGTGGCAGAAATTTTCAGCAAGACATGAAATCTGTTTTTAAACATTGAACAAACTCAGATTTTTAAAAATCCTCTATGGCCTTGAAGATTGTATAGGAAAGCACTTGGAAACTCTAAATTCCTTGAAATTAAAACAAAAATAAAACAAAAGTAAAAACAAAGACTGCATAGCTGGCTACTGATAGCTAAGTAAACATGTATAATCAGAGGATTTAATAACTTAACGTTGCCAACAGGTGTAACAGGTCTAACTCCACTATTTAAAACTCCATGACAACTGATAACCTCCTACACTCTGAAGGCAAATAGATATACTATTTAAACCTATAAAACTTTTCATGATGCAAGGCATTTCTGCATAAATGTACCCCATGAGAAAACGCATTAGGAGCACTTTGTAAAGGTCATCGTGCCATTCAAATGTAAGCTATTCTTAGAAAATTCAAGAAAGCTCTTCTGAACCTTGTAGAATGAGTCAAGATAGGTGAAGTTTATAAAACAGAGCATTATGTAAAAATGAAATAGAAAACACCGATTATGTCTCAATACAAAATATAATAAACCAAGAGGAAAAATGAAAACCACAAGACAAATTTCTCTTCTAGCTTCCCTGGCTGTTCTCTGACAACCTTGGCTTTGATTTTCAAGGCACTCAGTCATGCATGCACACCGATCTTTGTTCGCGTCTGGTCCCCTGCAGTTACTTCTGTTCTGAGTGATTGAGCTTTCAAGTAACTGATTTTTTTCCCATTGCTTTTCTGAACTCGCTAAATGGCGCAAGCCATCAGCTCATTGGTTAATCCATTCCTGACACGAGAGCATCTGTAGCCTCTCACTCCGACCCGCCACCTCTTGGGTGGTGAAGCCCCACACACAGTAGTGAAGGGTGCTAGGAGGAGGCCTCAGTGCAACCCAGAAGAAAACTCATTTGCAAAAACCAACCCCTAAGTGGCTGTTCAACTTAAAACTCCATTGAATCTTGGCTTTCCAGACAGTCCTCTATGCCTAATGAGTCCCCAACACTGGTCTGTGAGTTCACAGTAAACCCAGAGTTTTTTAATGCATTATGAGCATTCATAAACTTCTGGAGATATTTGGACGTATACAGCCAGTGGTGTTTCAAGACATCTTCCATCTCGTAGAACTTAGACTGCCTGGCATTCATTTTGCGGAAGCGCCTGAACAGTTTGTTACCAGACTCGTTTCCCTCACTTGCCCACGCCCCAATAGAGCCATCCCTCTCGATAATTTCAGGAACATGGGCCAGGGTCTTGTGAAAATAATTAGTGATTTTGCCCTCATACCGATATTTGAAGTGGGTAGAGAGGAGCTCAGCAAACCGCTGCGAGTTGAAACTGTACTGGCAGAGGAATTCCGGACACTCCTTAGCGGGGCACGAGGACCGCCAAACTGGCTTCATCTTCAGGTAGAGGTCCATCAGCTCCCTCAGAGCCTCGTGCCTCTCCTTGGAAGGAATTAATTCACAGACTGCATCGACAGTCTCCTTGGTCATGAGCTTCCTGGCAAAGTTGCCGTTCATCCTCATAATTGGTTTGAGATTCATCTTCTTCCGGAGATGTTTGTCCAGGGTGGCCTGCCATCTTTTCCTTTCCTCTTTGGAGGCGTTGGGATTCTTATATGCCTCCCCTATCTCTAGCTGGAAAATCCTGTAGAACTCAGCTGCATTGCCAATGTCACAGTGCAGCGCATCGATGGACGGCACCGTCTCAATGAAAGGTTTGGCCGAGACGCCTTTCACCCTGTCCCGCAGCTCCTCCGCAGACTCGTGGTACGGGTTGGAACGCCACACCTCGTAGCGTTCCAGGTTCTCAGCATGGCTTCTGGTTATGGAGTGGAAGACAAGGTTTTGAGAGGCTTCCAGACGGGTGGCATCGCAAAGCGTGCAAATGTACACCGAGCCAGAAGCCTCCAGGCCTTCTACTTCGCGGACAAGTTTTTCATCGTACCCGGTGCCCCTGAAGATGAACTGGAAAGTCCGGAGGATGCCTCCCATCTCAAGCATCAATTTGCTGTCCTTCATGGCCTCCCTCTCAGCAATGAGAGGGCTGAGGATGGCAGTCAGGGTCTCGTGGTCGGATTCATCCGCCAGCATGAGGCACAGCGGCTTGCAGCACAGTTCAGAGTTGGGTTTGGCTTCCTCAAACACCCTCACGCTCTGCGAGCCGTGGGCAACCGTAATTGTCATGACTGTGAATGAAAAGCGAACTGCCTTTTCCGGGACTACAGGCCCGCTCCCGTGCTTCTCACTCACGTCTCCCATCCCATCGCAGGACTCCTTCACCACGACAGTGAAGGGGCCATGCAGGTAGTCATCCAGGTCGTGAGACCTCATGCCTTCCAGGATGTCTTCCTCCATGTCCATCAGAGCAGACACCAAAGCCGAGTCATAGCGGAACCTCTTGGCAATGGTGTCCACGGGGTAATCATCCACCGAGGAGGAGAGTCCAGACAGCCCATCAATGATGCCCACGTCGGTGCTGGAGGACACATTTTTCAGAGGTGGCTGCCACTCAAAGGGGTGGTAGCCCGGCAGAAGGACCTTCTCCGCGCTCCGAAGGGCGTGCAAAGGCTGGAAAATCTGCCTCCCCGTGATGGCTTTCACGGTCCTGTACATCTTGTGGTACTGACTGCAGCTGAGGAAGGTGTTGACACGGATGGCCAAGCAAACAGCTGGCTGCAGGCCAGATCCCCGTCCCCGCATGATGGCCTCCAGCTCATCCGCCTGTCTGTGCTCATTCCCCGCCCTCAGAGCCAGCAGGAACAAGGTCAGACACACAGACTTCACGTCCCCGCCTTCTTCTTTGTCCGCAAAAGCCTTCACTTGCAGCTTGAGCTCCCTCAGCCGGTGTTTCTGAGCTCTCCGAGTCAGCGACAGGAGGTGCTGACGGGGCCGGCCTCCCTTATTAATATGCACAAGAGTCTCTTTCGATTCCCGGTGACTTGAGACATGGTGATTATATTTTTCCAGGCTGACCTCCTCATTGCATTCTTTTGCTGGACATCTCACCATCAGGGAATTCAAGATACTCAGAAAGGATTTCACTGGACTGTCCAAGTCAGTAGGGAAGCATGGATATTGGCAAGAGGGACAATAGCTGCCCATGACTTTGAGGCACCTGAGAACGCAGATCCTGCAAAAGACGTGCTTACAGCTGGTCTGCACGGGGTCAGCCAGGATGTGCTCACAGATCTGGCAGGAGATAGATTTCACGAAGTGCTCGGGGAAGTCCACCGCAAGCAGCTGGGGACTGAGGTGTATTTTACTGCAGTTGGTAATCTTCTTCAGGACTTTTCTGCTGCGGATCCTCAGCTGAGCTCTTCTCCTGCACTGACGGGTTCGTCTCGCTTGGTCCAGCACAGTTTTGAGTTTTTTGCTGAGCTGCGCATTTGGCTGAAGACTCTTCCTCTTGAGTCCCCGACGGGCACTGTGGCAGATGTCACAGGAGGATGTGTGGGGGTGCCACTCCATGGCTGTGTTCCTTGGAAAGTACACCTCCCCGGGGGCACTGCTAAACTTTCTGTACATGATGCTCCAGCAGTTATGGCAGAACTCAGTGGGGTGGATGGAGTCAACATCTGCTTTCACATCAATCCGGAAAACCTTGGCAATGAGGTCTGGCCAGGAAGTTGCTCTCTTTTCCTTCTTTCGTAAAAGGGCTTGGGTTTTACCATCCACAGGCCCGTGGACTGGGTATCTCCTCTTGTACTCATCAGTTTTCAAAGAATCCCCACAGATGCGGCAGAGATGTCGAAGGTTGGCTTGGTGGATCGCTTTGCCTCTGGCTTTTCCGTCATCGTGAGATTTCTTAGAAAACTTAGGGTGTGCTTTTAAGACTGGCTGAGTCAGGACTGGCTTCTGACCACCAACCTTGTTGTCCAGGACGGCTGGAGATTGCTCTAAAGAGGGTTTCCCCTCGGAGACATCCTTATTTTCCTTTTGAGCTTCTGCAGGTGTCTTTTCAAGAGATCTCACCCTGAAGAGCTTAAATTTCCATTCAGAAAATTTAATATGTGGGTGTTGAATTTCCTCTGGGGCAGAACTGAGTCCCAGGGTGGGTGGGAAGGAGACAGCCATGCTGGCTGAGGGACCTGGGGACAATAACACAAATTGTATTAGGAAAAATATAATTATCCCACTGATATACCTTGAAAACAATAAAAGTGAATGTATTTAATTATTCACTCATTAATTCATTCCAAAAGTTATTTACTTGACCTTCTATTTTAAATTAAATACTATGTTAGGTACTGATCTTGTCCTGACAGTATTTATTATGGTCATTTATACCTTTTATGCATATGAAATATTTTTTAAATATGTACATAAAATCTTACGGTCTTTCCCCCCAATATCTTAAGGTCTTTAAGGACAGAATCTTTGAGTGAGTCATCTTTGTCCCCCTAAGGTTCGTGGAACACATTTGGTGCCCAATCGTTATTTGCTGAATAAATGCAAAGATAAACTGGCTACTAAAACCAAAGAAAAGTAATATTTTCCACATTGTATTAGCCTCATTGCACTAGCTGGACAATATATTTCCAGCTTTTTAAAGCAGTCTTCCAGGAGGTTGGTCGTTTATTTCTTCCAAATGGTTCATAAAGGGTTGATAAAGCTACAGACCCAAAGAAACTAATTACTCATGACCTGAAAGAATGAAGTGAATTTTGAGCTTTATGAATGCAAACTAATAATAAGTATCATGGAGAGTAATTATGCTTGCCATTTTAATTAGTGAATGCTGCTGTAAATTATAAAACTGTGTCTACATTAGAAAACAAAAACCACAGAACTCCAAACCACAATATGCCTCTACCAAGATTCTGAAGGACTTTCAAGATGAAAAATTCAGGTAGTTTCAGATAAAACTCACATACATCCTCCTGAAAGTCATGGCTGGTCAATGGCCATTGGCTCTATAGTTTTTAATAAGAGGTAGGGGTAATGATTTTCATCTGGTAAAAAAACATTCTCAATTATATATGTCAGGAAACCCTACTCATCCAAGTTGTCGTGGAAAAATTAGCTGTGTTGCAGAAAAAAATCTGACAATGCCATTTAAGTACACTCTAGACCCAGTGAGATTGATCTTCCCAAAATTCTTTAGTACACATAATTGCAAAAACAGCAACTGTATTTTGTCCTACTATCCCATCCATCTCTCTCTCAAATTGGCCTGGGCTAACAACTCTTTTGATCTACCAATTATATCAAAAAATATATGCTGTTTCCTAAATCAATTAAATAACCAAATTAATAAGAATTTTTATATTTATGTAGTCTAAGAGAAAAATCCTCAAATGAACACACTTTTATCACGGTTAGGATTGGACGGGTTGAGGGTAATGTCAGCAAGGACTAAACCTGGTTACTGCTACCAAAGCTTCTTTGCAAGTCCTCCCTTTTAAACTACCAAAGTTTATTCCATCTTAATATCCATCATGCATCAGAGATGAGTGTTCTCCATAAAAATTAAGTGCAAACTTATAAGACTTGATTAAAAAGGAGATCCTATCAGATTGTGCTATCCAGGACTGTATGAGAGTTAACAATTCCAAACTATTTCAAAGGTCTCATTAACCTCTAAAAGGATTTCAACCACAGCCCAACAAACACCTCAAAGTTGGTTATAATTCATTACAGTTCAGTTCTGTCTCTTAATTCTCTCCGTGGCAAGTGCTAGGCATTTTCTGATCTCTCCTGCCTTATTGGCTTGAACTCAGCCTGAAATGTCTTCTCATTCCTTTAGGATTTTACTTTCCAGTCTTTTCCTAAAGCACTTTCTCTCTGACATTCCAAGATAATATTTTGAGAGGGTAGCTCATCAAGTGAAACACTGACCTTTCACACCGAGTAAGTCAATCACAAGGTGTGTTTATAGGACTCCTAGAACTATCTCCCCTCCCTATGCATTCCCCTCCTGACTCCCACTTGCCTAAAACATTATCCAAAATACATGTATTTAAATAATCCCGTGGAAAGAGTGTCATCACCAAGTAGTCATTAATATTAGCTATTGACATCTGACTTAAAGTTATTCATTAGATTGTTTTCCAACTCAACTGCATAAGAAACGGATGAAAGGCATATATTATTCTTCTTGTTTTAAAGCAATATACACCAGGATATGAATGATGGTCATCTGTGAAATCTATATATGTTTTACCCTTCTTATCCTTACTTGTGATTTTTTACTCTTTAAAATAAATATATATGCTCATAGGGACAATAAAACACTAATAGAGTCCAGTTCAGGGGTAGAGGGAAGTGGGAGGGGGGAGAGGGTGGATGTTTGGCAGAAGGAGGGAGGGCATGAGGTGGGATCTCACCTAATGGGCACCTTGTGAGGGTGTATAACACGCCCCTGGGTGATGGGGCTCATCTACAAATGGAACTTTACCCTGGAGGTGAGAACAAGATAATCTAAAATTTGTACCCTTATATTAATTTGAAAAAAATATGTAACAATAAAAAATAAAGTAAAATAAAATAAAATAATCAGCATGAATTACTTTTGGAAGAAGATAGAACTGTTAAGAATTAAACTTAGTGAGTTTTTTTTTAATCTATCCAATTAGCACAGATTAAAACTATTGATATTATCAAGGCATGGAGAAAAACTATTGACCATTTATCAAGGCATGGAAAAATTAAAATATTGACCATTTATCAAGATATCTTCAAACATTATTGAGGAGAAGTATCAATTGATATAAAATATCTAGTGGACAATTTAGCAATGTCTTTAAAAAAATCAAATATATTATCTTTGGTAGAATAAATCTCCTTTGAGGAACTCACCCAATAGATATTTTATAGAAACCTTACTACAACTATACAGTGACATGGATAGGGAGACAGAGGGATAGATAGGTTTAAAAACAAATTGTTTCATGGGAGTGTTTGACACACCTTTTGAGTGTGAGACACAACCACAAGAGGGATTTTATATAATAAAATCAAAGATCTTTGACCTGGTTGTTTAGACCCTCATCTTAACCTGAAATAAATTTACGTCTCAATGAAAAAAATTAGAAATTAAAAATGTTTCTTTGAAAACCAGGAAACAATATAAATAATTACCAAAAGGGTTTTCCATTATTAATTAGTCTAGGGTCCATTCATAATTGGAAAACCGTACAGGAAATGACATTGTCTATGTGCATCGATGCATATAGGTAATTTGTATATAAGTCAATGACATGGAAGAGGCCCATATGGACAAGCAGAAAGCAGATCAATAGTGGCGGGTGTTATAGGCCTCCACGGAGTCATCCAGGTTCATATTTGTGCACACATTAAAAGTACAAATATTCTGGAAGGATATGCGCAGAAATCTTTCTTTCTTTTTTTTTTTATTAAATCATAGCTGTGTACATTAGCACTAAAATCTTAATTGGAGTGTTTTATCTCCAGGGAGAGAGCCTCTTACACTTTTTATTCACTTTGTATCGTTTGGATTTTTCACAGCACGCATTTTTGGACAGTTTGTGATCAATTCATTTTGGATAAAACTATCTGAAAGGCTAGATTGATACACACTCAGGGTTATGTTTTCATATCTTTCTACATTTCCCTGGGCAAAGTTAAGTCTCACAGCTGACCACCATCCTTAGCTTCTCTTTGTTTTCTGATACACGTATAGAAAGGAGACGAAAAGCTGGCCCTGCAGACAGCAGGTAGTTGGGATTATGGAAGAGTTACCTTGTCATTTTTGATACTTAAAAATCTTGCAAATGCTTGATCTCCTCTCTCCTAACAAATGGTCTCAGTAGTCGACCAGTCTCAGCATCTAAAAGGCTGAGGGGCTGATGCTGGCTCAGGTCTGTCCCCATAGGCCACTGGCATCTCAGCAGTGCCATCATCTGATATCACAGCTGCGGGAATGCCTCCCTTCACAGGGCACGGATTCATTTGACTGACTAGTCTGGGGTGGCTTACGCAGGGCAGAAGTTGTAGTTTCTGGGAGTGATATTATCAGTAGTTTCAGGAGGCTGGGCTTCAGCAGCAGCTCCACACCCCCTCTTCCACTCCAGCTGCCCACCTTTCACACGTGCCCCCCCGCCACACACACACACACACACACACACGAGCGCACTTAGACCACAATCTTCCTTCCTGACATCTTTCACTTGATCTGTACACAATTTCCAAGTGACAACTTTATGCCCGGGTATGACCTCTCATCTAATCATTGCCTTCGCTCCGCAAATACCATCATCTGTTATTTGCCAAACACCATGCATCAAAATATCGACGGCATCCAAAGCCTTTCTATAAGTCTCAGGCACCAACAAAATAACCCTAAGATTCACACCCTTCCTCCCAACAACTTCTTACACAAACCACTTAAGAAAGAGTCCTGGTCGGAAGTCCTGACTCAAGAATATAACCTCACAGCAGAGTCTCTACCATGGTGATTCTCCAATTAATATAAATCAGAATTACTAGGGAGCTTGGTTCAGAAAAAGAAAAATGCAAATCATCAGGTCCCAGACAGTCTTGTTGTTTGACTGGGATGGAGTCCAGAAACTGTATTTTTTTTAACAAACATCCTAGTGATCCTGATGTGAGTGGGCATTCTGAGAAACACTGATCTCCTCCTTACTCTAATCTAGTTCAGAAAATGCCTGCCAATACTTGGCAATACCTGGCAAATTACACATACCCTCTCACCCTGGAATTTGTTCGCTTCTGATTATTTTTCTTCCCTGGACTAACAGTATTTCTCTCTAAGAGTCTCACCCCTTCCCTCTGCTGGTTTGTTTATGCATTCATTCAAGAAGCACTCCTTAAAGCTTTCCTCTGTTAAGAGCATCCGTTTATAATAATTGAGATTTTTTTGCATGGTTTCCATGAAATTCAGCATCCCTAAACTTGGCCTCTAGTACCTTCTCTGTATTCACGCCTTAGAAAGAAGAAACAAACTGGAGTCAGCTTCCCTCACTCCATCCCCCTATCTCCTACAAGGAAAAGAAAAAAGCCCAAGGGCTTCTAATTAGAAACATAAAAATGTAACAAATATTTTGGCTCAAGACATGAAAAGTATGAGTGTTACCTTGCTCAGGAGGCTGCCT